GCTGCAACGTTTAAAGTGATCTGCACATCTGGCCTGACATACCCTCTCTGAAGTCCACATACTTTTTTTTCTTTTTAATTATTAGGAGCAGCAACGGTACAACCAGCCACATAAGGCTTTCACGTTTAGGATGCATGGCTTTGAATCTGTGGTGGGTCCAGTTAAAGGAGTGTTCGATAAGGAGATGTCACTAAACAAAGCCAGGGAGCACACGCTGCTGCGCTCAGACCGACCACCATACGTCACCATTCTTTCTCTGGGTTAGAGCTTCTGTTTTACGTGGATTCCATTGATGTGGGGACTCACTGCTTTAGCAGCAAAGCCATTCGTATGACTTTTGCCTCTTTTCTTTTTTTCTAGTACGGGATGCAGCAGCCAGATTACCCAATGGGGAGGGAACGAGAGCAGAGATCTGTGAACTGCTGAAAGACTCACAGTTTCTTGCTCCAGATGTCACAAGTGCACAGGCATGAAAGAGTTTTCCCTTCTTTTTTTCCTCTTCATTAAGTTTTTTCTCTGTGTCCCTTATCATTTTTCATAATTACAGATGACTTCTTTGTTGTGTTTGATTATGAATTGACCACTTTTCAGAGACAGACACTGGCTTTAAGCTTTAGCCTTTTAGTGATATTTTCCGTGAGTAAGGAGCTTTGCTTTCCATTTAGGTGAATACAGTTGTCAGCGGGGCTCTGGATAGACTTCACTATGAGAAAGACCCCTGTGTCAAGTATGACATCGGCCGCAAACTGTGGATTTACCTGCACCGCAATCGCAGCCAGGAAGAGTTTGGTAAGCCACAAAGCTTATTTCAAAATATTTCTGGTTTATGGAGCTGCCTTAAAGAACAGTGTCTTGTTTTTACTCAACATCAGGATACAGTACTCTGCTCTGTATGAAGGACATTATCAGAAGACATTAGGAGCCTACTAAAATCTGACCCTTTCTTGCACAATATCTTACTTGTTTGGTTTGCTGGCTCTTGGCCCTGTCCACGTCTCCATGAGGTGTTACAGATTAACTCTAATTATCGCTTTTATTGCACTTGTTGTCCTCAACTCAACTAACATTAACTGGTTTATTTCCTGCTTGATTCTGCTCCTGTTGTGTGCGTGAGTCATGGCACATTTAACATTAGCATCAAGCAAAATGAACTACCTTTATCATCTCTTTCCATGTGAAGAAAAGACATTTCATTTGTAAAAGCCTCTTTAGCTCTGTTAGATACAGAAAATGACTTAATCACTGAGCAGTGGAGGGAAAAAAACTTATTCTTTGGTTTATTTGTCCTATCCAGAGAGGATCCACCAGGCTCAAGCTGCAGCTGCAAAAGCAAGAAAAGCTCTACAGCAAAAACCGAAACCAGCAGCTAAACCTGTAAGTCCACAGGAAAAAAAACAAACACCCAACAGCATTTACTGGGGGAAATAACCATTTACCAATTATTGTTTTGATTAATCTTTGTTTTTATGGTTTAGAAGTCTGGAAGCAAAGATGGAGGCAACAAAACTGGATTTTTGGAAGCAGGACAGGATATAGGTTCTAATCCCATGTCACCAATCCCGACGACACCCACTCCGAACACACCTGGAACCCCCAAATCACCCTTACCCTCCACAGTCACCACACCAACAAAAACCAGAGTCCCAGATACAATCAAAACCAGCCCAGGGTCAGTGTGCCATATATATATATTTTTTTTTTCTTATTTATATTGTCTAGAACATACGTTTTGATTCATTTGTGCAATTTCAAATCAACTCTTGTCTGTTGCTTCTGCTTCCTCTTGTACGCCTAGTGTTCTTCTTGTGTCCCCTCCATCGTTGCCCCAGCTGGGAACTATTTTGCCCACAAGTCAGGCTTGTCCACCAGCTTCACAGCCAGTTACATCCCACGCAGCTCGTATAGTGAGTCACCTGACGGCAGGTTCTCTTCCACAAGTACGAGTCGTTCCTGCTCAGCCTGGCCTGGGGTCATCGGCAGGAAGTCAGCAAGCCACACTGGTACATCAGACCCCTCACCAGATCCGGATGCCAGTGTCAGTGTCTGCTAAAGGAATTTCACAGGTACCAAAAACAACTAGTAATTTTTAAAAGATGGATGGATGGTTGTTGGAAATGTACAATTAATTCTGTCTGTGTTTGTTGTGTATGTCAACAGGCTGTGGTGTCTGTGCCTTTAAGAAGTCAACCTGCTAGCAGTCCAGTCCAGGTTCCAACTACATTGTCTGTGTCAGCTGTAACTGTGGCCAAACCTCAATCTCGATCACCTGGTAGCCCAGCTACCAACCCTGCTTCTCCAGCTGTGCTGCAAGGAGTCACCAGCCCAAACATCAAACAGGTTGAGCATTTTCTTTTAACTGTATATATTTGGGTATCTACTATCTGAAGGGCCCTTTAATAAAGACGACTACAGTGCAACAGTGGTGCATAGTTATTAACTGTATAGTAGAGATGTTCCCTTAAATGTCAGATGCTTACAGATATACACATGAATAAACAAATTTGACTCCTTACAATCTCAGCGCAACAACTATAGTTGAAATGTAGTTTAACTGAGTAGTATACAGGAAGAGGATGGTGACAGGAAAAAAATCCTTGAAGGCCGTTTACCATTTAATGATCCCATGATTTATTATTTGTATAATTATCATTATAATAATTATTATTTGCAGGTGTCTATCACAGGACAACTGGGAGTAAAGTCTCCAGGAGCAGGAATTCCTATCACAGCTACAAACCTTCGCATCCAAGGCAAAGATGTCCTACGCCTCCCACCATCGTCCATAACCACAGATGCTAAAGGCCAAACAGTGCTGCGGATCACCCCAGACATGATGGCAACACTTGCCAAATCCCCAGTTACGACCGTCAAGCTCACTTCTGACTTTCTGGGCTCTGCCTCCACAGGCGGCAAGAGCATATCAGCCACTCTTCACGTGACACCACCCCATCCTTCACCTTCTTCGGTGTCCAGTGCTGCATCCTGTACTGGGGAAGTACAGACCACTAAAGCAGGACACGTTGCCTCGACCTTGTTAAAGGCTGCAGGAGACACGACCATTCGTTTGATGCCCACGTTGGCCGTCACTGTGGCCGACCAAAAATCTAGGACCTTCTCCACTGTGACTTCCCCAGACAAGACCGGCGCCACAATTCGGATAATGCCGGGCCTGGGTGTAATTCCACAGAAACCAGGTCAGACCATCACAATGACCACCACCACTGGCAGTAAACCTCTCACAGCAAGTACATGTGCTAACGTAGTGACCATGCCTGCCAGTGTTGTGGCCGGTGCTAAAGGGATCACAGTGGCTTCTGGAGCTTCGGGGTCACCTCTGACGCTAGGAACAGCTACAGCTACTGTGCGACAGGTCCCTACTACAGTTGTCACCACACAAACGGTTAGAGAAATATTCAGTGTTATTCATCACTATAACACACTGTTGAATCCAACAATGTTATCTAATGCATGTCTTAAGAAGGGTTTAAGTGTGAGAGTTAACCAAACAGCTTACAGTTACTGAAAAGATTATCCCAACTATGTGTAACTATCTGTTAAAACTAGAGATAGTTAATGTTTTAACGGGTTGGTAATTTATTGATTTACATGGTTTCCTCAAATGAAAACCAGGAACTGATAAGCAAGGAATGCATCCACCTGTTCCTCGCTTTCTCCAAACATACAGTCAGCTTGCATTCAGCAAGTCATTTCACTGCAGACTTTTGTTTTTCTTTAGTGATCTATAATAGGATATTCTCAATAATGGGAATTTTGAATTTTACCTTATTTAAATGATTGCTTTAAGTGTACTGTAAAACCATCAATAACAGGCCCAAACCATTCTGTTCTTTGAACACTGTAGGGGAAGTTACCCGCACGGATCACAGTCCCCCTGTCTGTCCTCAATCAGCCACTGAAGAGCAAGAGTGTTGTAACGACACCCATTGTGAAAGGAAGCCTGAACACAAAGTAAGGCTGCACAGATTTAGACTTTTCGCTTTCATTTTATTGTGAAGGTTAATGCTCTAAGATATAATTTTATTTCAGCAATTTGTGTGTTTTCTTGACATTATAACAGTAGAAGTGCACATTTTTGCAGTTGATCTATATTTATACATTTCTCTCTCCTGTGTGAGCAGTATTAGCAGCCTGGGCAGAAACATCATTCTCACCACCATGCCTGCTGGCACGAAGCTGATTGCAGGAAACAAACCTGTCAGTTTTGTCACAGCGCAACAGTTCCAACAGCTTCAGCAGCAAGGACAGGCCACACAGGTTTTTGTAGATGCTTTTCATTTTTAGCACATATAGTGATTTCATTTTATAGTTTCTGTTCAGATCAAACAAATACAGAGAATTATCTACCATCTTATACTCTTCAGGTTCGGATCCAGACAGTTCCAGCGCAGCAGGTTCAGCACATGGCTGCAGGCTCCCCAAAATCTGTTTCAACAGTCGTAGTCACAACAGCACCTTCACCAAAATGTACGCCTGATACTCCACCGGCTCCACAACAATGATCTCATCCTGTCAGCCTACAATGACTCACAGATCAAGGATGCTATATATGTACCAGGATTGTTTGTTTTTGTCCAATATTTATCAGAGTTTTAGTTCAGTTTGCAAGTTAAAAAACATAAAAGCCAGAAACCTAATTCTTCCCTGAAAACCCTGCTGCCTTTCTTTTCTTTTTCTCCAAGTATTACATGAAAATTCTGGTCATTTATTAACAAAATGTTACCTCCTGAATTTGTTTCTCCACATTGTTATAAACAAAATATATCATAAGAAAATTCAGCCTGTTTATAATCTTTCCGTAGAAATTCCAGGTGCAAGTTTGTGGGAAAACTGAAAAGTCTACATGGTCTCTTGATAACCTCAAACAACAACTTGTCCGATTGTATTAAAGTACTAATTCAGTTTAATATAAGCAAGTTGTGATTTGTTAATAAAATATTTCAATATGTTGCATTTTTTGTAAAAGCAGGCGATACACAATATGAATTGTCCTTTTTAATATTTACAAACATGATAATAGTTAATTCACATGGATTTCAATCTTATTTTCTTTAGACATTTTTTTTTAAAATAGATAAAATAGATCAAGATTTGAAAAATGAAATCAAAGAGCCATAAACATGCCTTCATTCTTCATCTGACTCTTGAAGCAAAGCTTTTTGAGAGGTCAATTCAGAGGATGTGTTACGCATTCCGATCTCTATGTCTCGTCCCCTTGCCGAGAATTGCACCACAGTCCTGTTGGAACAAACACAAGTGTACATGAAGATTATACAACTAACACTGTTATTGTTGCCTCCTGAAAGCTAATGAATTGTTAATGATAATTATTACCGAAGGACATTAAAATCTAATCAAAAGTTCCAAATGGAGATGAGGTTTAAACGGTATCAGGGCCTCTTAAGCCTAAACCTTTTTCTACCAACAATCGCAAGAGGGTCCATAGATGCAAGACATCACAGCAGTCAGTGTAAAATGTTACCCACCAATAACAGATAAAGAAGACAAGTAATGCAGATTAATACAGGTTACAAGTTACTTGTATTTATCCATCTCCTTAAGGGTTAACTACTAAAATAAGCTGCCACTAGCTGTTGGGTATTTATGAGAAATGTTGAATGTAAACAAAAACATGTTGCCTATATACACATCACCTCAAAAAGCAGGTTTGGATGTCAGAATTCAAAAAAGGTGGCTTTCACCAAGCTTACAAAATGTTCAGGAAGTGATTTATCATGAAGTTTACTTGTCCTTGAAACCGTCCCTGAAAACCTTTGCTTCAGCTATTCTGAAATGTCAAGTGAATAGTGATATCCCATTGAGGCACATTATGCTCTAATGAAAAGCCATTTCAGAGCAAAATATGCAGGCTAAACCCTGATCAAGTTGCATTTTACAGGGAATAATAACCCGAGTACATGTATCATAAATGCAGGTGCACATGTTGTTCTGCCATGTTGTGACAAGATTTTAATTGTACCTGTTTTGCTGAATCCCACTTGTTCTGTTTTCTAACCAAGTCTGTTCAAACTCGGTTATTACACTGATCTGGTTGTAAAATGTGTGCATGTAAAGGATGAGATACTTACAACCAAACTACAACTGCAGTGGAAGTGACTAAAAGCAGGGCCACAGCTAAATGCCAGCAGAAGCACATTGTGACGAACATGACGTTGGCGTGCTCGGTCAAGATCCATTCCACTCCACTTGGTGGGTAAAGTACGAATCCAATCTGAAATGACAAATGTGTGATGAAGAAGCCAACTACCTATTATCATTATAAGCAAATGAATAAAAAAATGTAAGTTGACAAAAAGTTTGCACAAAGAGCAAGATCTAAGGACAGTCCACACAGATGGCACCGAACTGGCCCTGATGTGTGCAGAAATTAATGAAATCTACTGCTTGTCTAGAAAATGTGATTAAACTATACAAGTAAATATTTTAAAAAGTGGTGTTGGTCCTCTAAGTGGTCTTTGTTTTAGTATTCAAGTGCCACGGCGATGCAGTGTTTAGCACAACGAGAAGGTTCCTGGTTTAATCCTCCTGGGGCATTTCTGTGTATAGCAGGCGATCGTGGCTCAAGAGTTGGCAGTTCGCCTTGTAATCGGAAGGTTGCTGGTTCGAGCCCCGGCTTGGACAGTCTCGGTCGTTGTGTCCTTGGGCAAGACACTTTACCCGTTGCCTACTGGTGGTGGTCAGAGGGCCCGGTGGCGCCAGTGTTCGGCAGCCTCGCCTCTGTCAGTGCGCCCCAGGGTGGCTGTGGCTACAATGTAGCTTGCCATCACCAGTGTGTGAATGTGTGTGTGAATGGGTGGATGACTGAATATGTAAAGCGCTTTGGGGTCCCTAGGGACTGGTAAAGCGCTATATAAATACAGGCCATTTACCATTCAGGCCATATATAGTTTGCTTGGTCTCCCTGCAGTCCAAAGACGTGCTTGTTAGGTTATTTGGTGATTGTAATTTGCCTGTCAGTGTTTGTGGTTGACTGTCTCTATGTGATGGACTGGCAGCCTGTATAGGGTGTATCCTGTCTCTCATCCTGTGTCAGATGGCTGAACTGGACGGGTGGATAGATGTTGCTGGGTGTATAAACGAGGTGTTCTGCATCAGGATCTCATTTGGCTAATCACCTGGTAGAACCACGAACCCTGTAGGATGAACATGCATGACCCGAACAGCTCTAAAATAATGTTGTCTCTTATGAACATCTCCAGCATGATGCTGGCTGAGCCTCCAAACACCGCCACCAGGAGCAGGGTGTGGATGTGGGCGTCCAGAAGAGGTCGACTGTGCACATGGTAGTAAAACAGAAACCCTGCGTGAAATAGAGTCAAACACAAAATGTAGCTCAAATACACGTTAGCCACCAGGAATTATGGTGAAAAATATTGTGCAACTAAAACCTGGCTTTCTTACAGCTTACCTTCAACAAAAAGAGCTAACGAGAGACCAAAGCGGCCCACTCCTCTTGGCACCAGTTGGAATTTTGTACTTAAAATCAGAGCTATTCCAGAAATCCCAAAGAACAGATACATTGTGCTGTGCTGCCAGTTCATCAACTTAATCCACCCGCCGTCGTTGTAGAGATGAGCATGTGGCCCGTCCACCACAAACTGCTCAACCATAATACCTGTGACAGGACAGCATCAGCGAAATTAGAACAGGTGGACGCACACAACTGATGAATATATATTTACAGGAAAACTGACCAATAAAAGCAGCAAATATCTGGAACCCTCCTTCAATGTAGTCCAGTCTTTTAAAGATTGGCGGCAAAGTCTGTCGTCCTTTAGGCTGGTTTGTCCTCCAGTAGTGTTGGAGAACATATTTCACTGTTAGCCAGAAGCCATAGAGCAGGAAAAAAGAGCCAGGAATAGCGTGTCCTCCAAAGTTGGCCATTATCAGGCCTGAAAAAAGAAGAAATGCGCCTTAGTCATGTCATACATTGCTATACAAGTGTATTTGCCCCCTTCTTGGCTCAAGAGTTGGCAGTTCGCCTTGTAATCGGAAGGTTGCCCGTTCGAGCCCCGGCTCGGATAGTCTCGGTCGTTGTGTCCTTGGGCAAGACACTTCACTCGTTGCCTACTGGTGGTGGTCAGAGTGCCCGGTGGCGCCTCGCCTCTGTCAGTGCGCCCCAGGGTGGCTGTGGCTACAATGTAGCTTGCCATCACCAGTGTGTGAATGGGTGGATGACTGAACGTGTAAAGCGCTTTGGGGTCCTTAGGGACTAGTAAAGCGCTATACAAATACAGGCCATTTACCATTCTTGATTTATTCATTTATTTATTTTTGCATATTCATCACACATGTTTCATATCAAACTAATTCTAATAGTAGACAAAGACACAATTCAGGTTTTACATGATGATTTAATTTATTAAGGGGGAAAAATAAGTTTACTTACCTGGACCTGTGTAAAAAGTAAATGCCCCTTAAACTTGATAACCGGTTGGATCAAAGTTAGGAGCAATTTGTTTTTGGATCACGGTCACTGAGTCTTTCACGTCACTGTGAGGAATTTTGGTCCACTCTCCTTTGCAGAATTGTTTTATTTCAGACACATTTGGGTGGGTTTCAAACACAAACAGTGCATCCCAAAGCATCTCAATCTGATTTAAGCCCAGATTTTGACTAGGCCACTGCAAAACCTTCATTCTGTTTTTTACTTTGGAGCCATAGACAGGTGGACTCGTGTTTCAGATCATTGTCATGCTTAAGTACACTTAAGCTTCAGGGCCTGACCTTCTGGTAGAGAACCGAATTCATGGTTACATCAAGTCTTCCAGGTCTTGAAGCAGCAAATCGGCCCCAGACCGTCGCAATACCACCACCACGTTTTTTTTCTGTTCTTTTTAGGAATGCTGTGTTGATTTTACGCCAGATGTGAAGGGACTCAAACGTTCCAAAAAGTCAGTCCACACAGTAATTTCCCAAAAGCCTTGGAGATCATAAAGATGTTTCTTGGCAAATTTGAGACAAGCCTTTGTGTTCGTTTTGCTCAGCAGTGGATTTTTCCCCTCCTAAGGATGTCTCTTTCTTATTGCCGAATCATGAACTCTGACCTTAACTGAGGCAGGTGAGGCCTGCAGTTCTTTCCATGTTGTTCTTGCTCTTTTTGTGACCTCCTGGATGACTCATGAATGCACTCTTGGAGTAATTTTGGTAACACTGCTGGGAAGGTTAACCACTGTTTCAAGTTTACTCTATTTGTATATAATGGCTTTGACTGTGGTTCACTGGAATCCCAAAGCCTCAGAAATGACTTTCCAGACTGATGGATATCAATGACTCAGCTGTCTCTTTAGATTGCGTTGTTGTTTTTTGAGATCTTTTAACCTGCTTCACTTTGTCAGATAGGATCTACTTGAGCGGTTTCTTGATCTAACATGTCTCACAGGCCTGTGACGTTTGGCTAAAGAAATTGAAGTCAATAAATGTTGTAATTAAGACAATTCAGGATTTCACAAGGGGAGCAATTCCTCACACAGGGCCAGGTTGGGCTGCTTAGTTCCCCCCTTTCAATGAATGAAATCATCATTTTGTATTCACTCCAGTTATCTTTGACTAATATTAAAATTAGTTTGATGATCTAAAAAAAATAAGTGTGACAAATATCCAATATATTAATACACCAGGATGAATGCAAATATAGTATATACTAAATGCAGCGTTGAAAGTTCAAAGGTATTAGCTTTGAGGTTAAAGTGCAGGCTCTTAGTTCCGCTTTATTGAGATGATAAGAACCTGGCATTTAAGGGAACGAAATCCAAATAGATAGCAACGTTCACAAAGGGCTTTTTCAAAGCAGCTGGCATTACATAAAAACAAATACAGTGCTGGAAACTGCTGTCAATAGGGGGAAAGCAGCGATTAATTTATAACATATCCTGTCTGATTAGGGCGGAGCCTGCTGAGCGTGTTCTTTGGTCCGGATGACATTTGTTTTGCAAAACTGAAATTCAAATGAAAGAGGGTTTTTTGACAGAAAACGTGCTGCCTTTCAAATCAGAAAAAACAAACAGTATTAAAAGTTTAACAAGTAATACTTTAACGACTAACTGAAGTCACTAAGAAAATGGGAAAGCGCAATTATATTGTTTTAACTTAAATTCTGCCGCTGACTCATTAAAGTGAAATCTAAAATCAGACGCAGTGAACATGTAACACGGGCTTTTTTCCACTGCTCAAAAGGAAGTCGGTGGTTTATAACAGACCTTAAAACTTCTTCCCCCTGCTTTTAATGTTAGTATTGGAGACACGGGTGTGTTTAAAATCCGCGTGTTCGGTTAGTCAGACAAGTTTTTCCTGATCAGCCCTGCCTGGCGTGATGTTACTGAACACTTTTCACACATTGTCCAACATTTCCAACACTGTCGACGTGTATGGAGGCAGATAGCTGATTTCACCGTCTCAGAGCTAAGTCCAAATAATGTTTCGACACAATAAATACGCGTTTATCTAAAGTCCAGTTAGCCTGTGGCACATCAGCATCTGTACCGAGGTAAATCTTCAACTGAGTACATGCTTGATAAAATCAACATACCTTAATCTCTGCGGCTAATCCCCAAATGCAACAAATTAATGTCGGCAAACCGCCTTGAATGACAGCTCCCTGCTGTTTGGAGACCTGTGCACACCTGCTCCCTGCACCTCTAACCTGCACTGACGGATCACACATAGCCCCACCCCTAGTTTGCATAAGTTTCAGTGACCAAGTGACATCTCCCTGAGAAACGGGCAGAAAAACAGAGGCTGTTTAAAGACGGTGAGCTTTATTCAGCTACTCATTTGACAACAAAAAGATCAATACCGAGATTAATAGAGAGCAACAACTCGGTGACAACTTAAATATGCAGTTTTGCTAATATGTAAACTGTGTGCACAGTGGGAGATGCAGCAGCAGTGGCTTGTTTAAATGAACTTTGCACTCTTTTCAATAAATCTTTATTGCCATTCTTATCGTGCTTAACACACAGTCATTTGACATGTGAGGAAATCGCTACCTAAATGAAAAACGGAATGCTGTTTTAAAATAATCCTAATAAACAAAGTGTCATTGTTTAGGTGTGTGTGTGTGTGTGTGTGTGTGTGTGTGTGTGTGTGTGTGTGTGTGTGTGTGTGTGTGTGTGTGTGTGTGTGTGTGTGTATTTTGCACAAGAGAGTTATAGGATTTCACAGAACAATTTCTTCTCTCGAAACGGGTTCTCAGATGAAGGCACTGGAGTCACCAACGGGTCCTCTTTGGCATGAGCTTCACAGTAGGCCATCAGTTCAGCTGCTGCTTTGGATACCTGTAAAAGCAGACTGTGTTTAAGTGAGTCAGTGATCATAAAAGGGCAAGATAAGATGTTAAGTATGAGCTCATCTGTTCCAATACACACACAGACACACACACACACATATATATCTGTGTATATATATGTGTGTGTATATATATATATATATATATATATATATATATATATATATATATAGATATATATATATATATATATATACATACTACACAGAATAAGAAAGAGAAGTGGGAGGATCTCTGCATAACTGAGCAAGAGGACAAGTCGATTAAAGTCTCTCGATATCAGATGGCAGGCTCATTAAATGGCACTCATGAAGTCCCTCCAGGATATCTGAGACTGGCCAATAACAGTAAGAAAGAACAAATAAGCAGGAAAACACAGATATTGGACAGAGGCAAATTGGAAAAGTGCTATACACAATGATATCTGAAGTCTAAGGTCTTTAAGTCAAAAAGAACATTTGAGCGAGGGGCTGAAAGAGTGCTTGATATGAGGAAGTGTGATGATTTGATGGTGCGTGCAGTGCCAGGCTGGAGTGAAATCATTGAACCAGGTCATATAGCTCCAAACTATGCAAGAACTTTTTAAAAGGAAGCTGTCAGCTGGCATTCTGTTAAAAGGAGTGGACAGTACCATCATCAGATCTAAACCCTGATTGAACATTTGTGGGTCTCTAAGCTGGAGCACATATCTACAATAATAAAGATTCACACACCTGTAGTTGCTGCAAATAAGCAGTTCTTTGTCAAAAGTATAAATACATCTGATAAATAAAAGCATGTAAAATGTAACTTTTTATTGAAAGTTTCCGAGACACAGTGAAGTACAAAGGAAGAACACGTGGTGCCTTAACTGAAGTGAATACTTGCTCATCTGAAGACTTTTCAATTCACACTGCCTCATTTGTGCCCTTGCTTTGTTTCCAGTCACTGTCTGTGTGGACTCACCATCATCCTCTCTATGTTGACCTCCAGTTTCAACTGCTCTACTGTTTTTCGAGCATCTGCAATCTTGGCCATGTTGTTAGACATCCTGCCCTCTCCCGCTTGGATCAGCCATCATGTAGCAAATTTAAAAACAAGACACAAAAGTACAGATTACCAATAAAGAAATGTGGTTGTAGAAAACAAGTTTGCTCTTATAAAGAGCAATATAAAGAAAATTTGTCACAAATGATCAATGTGAGACATTATTGAAGGTATCTGAGGTGGTGGTTAGAGTCTGTTTCAATTTGTTTGTTAATTCTGCTCCCTGGGTCTCAGCTGCAAGAGGAACAGGGAGGGTCTCAAAGGAGAAGGGCAGGGGAGCGGAGGTAGCGCAGCCCTCCCAAGGGGGCGGCATCCGCTAGCACAGATTGTAAATACACCTTATATTAACATGTTGCTCTCGCACAATATATCTGTCATAAAGTTCACATTTAGTTGTTTTTCAAATCTCAGCTTTTCTTTATAAGTAGATGCTGTTATGTTTTTTTGAGTTTAAAAGACACATTCGAGTACCATCTTAATGATCCTCATAATAGGCGAGTAAATAAAAAGCCAGCAACAGCAGGCCTTTAAAAAAAAAAACTTTGCTAGAAATAATTAAAAGGAAATTCATTATAAGTCATTTCTAGTGCTAATATAATTCATGCAGCACATAGCAGATATGCCACATAATTCATGTGTAGAAATATTTGAAATAGGCTGCTTCTGTGCATCTGTATAAAAGATGATGATGATGATGATAAAGAAAATTTGCAGTCACTCCATAGTTCCAAACATACTCACAACAAAGACCGACAGCAAACGACTGGCTCCTGGAGCGAAAGTACACTTGTCCTCCGCCACAGCAACTTGTAGCTCCGAATGAAGAGAGATGAATGGCAGAGACGAAGTGGATGTCTTCACTGGGCTTCCAACCTTCACATAATTAGCGGTGGATCTGCCTATGGGATGGGCTCAGTGCAGCAGTGCAACAGTTAAAGGCAACATGTGGTATGACCTTCATTTCTACACTCTCTATCACTCACACATCTGAGATTACACCGAAGACAGAGAGTTAAATGTAGCTTTTAAAAAAGATGGAATATGGCTGAAATAATAGTTGTGTATTTGATCATAACACCTCAACAGAACAGACAGTTATTTTCCGTGACTTTGCATAACATGCTTGTGTATAAAATATCAAAATATCAAACCTTAAATTCTTGGAATTACTGAGTACATTAAAATGAGTTGGACTGGGATTGTTCTAAGACAGAATAATGTTTATGAGAAAGGTATTAAATCAGAATATGTAAAATAATGCTCTATAAACTTTTATTTGAAATTCTCACATGTGCTTGTGTTTAAAGAAGCCATGCAACAGAAAACAGTTACTAATCAAGCTCCAAATAAATATTTTAAGAGTCTAATTCTATCACACATAAGAACACTTGAATATAACCTCTGGTAAATTTGCATGTTCAGTGACAGACTTTTTGTCAAGGGGAGGATTTTCTCAGAAACAGAGTTATTTCTCTCATATTTTAGCGATCCTCTTCAAGGCTGCCAGTCTTTCCGGTAGAGCTGACTGTTATTCCACAGAGCAGCAGGGAGCAAAGTGGCAGTGTGATGGAGTTAAATGTCAAATGCTTCATTAACATTTGTTTCCCTGTAGTAATTGGTCTTGCTTCATGGACGATATAAGCCTTTATAGCAAAAAGAGCTTCTGGTTCACTTAACCCTCCTCTGTCATTTAAAACGTCTATACAGTAATGTGTGAAAGTCTTGAGTCACCACTCAATTCTTTATTTTTGTTACAAAAATGAAAAATAGGTACAGCTATTTATCAAAATGTGAAATCATAGGGTACATGTAAATACAGACTATAAGGCTAAAACTGAGTTTGTATCATTCTGATGAGCCTGAAAGTGAATGATTTGAAATGACCACCTTTATTCTTGAACCAAACATTTCATATTTGGATTCATCACTCAATAAGACCTGTTGCCAGTCCAGTTATTTTGTAATTTCACACCTCAGCCTTTTCTCCCTGTTTCCCTTCCTTAAGAATGGCTTCTTGACAGCCACCCTCCCACTGAGATCATTTCTGATGAGGCTGCAGTGAAAAGTAGTTGAATCAACTGAAGGTCCAGATGCATTTCTTGAGTCCTGTGTTAGGTCTTTGCTGGACTTTTTTCTATTACCGTACTTAAGGACATTAATTTTAGATATTGTTCATCTGCTCTAGTTAGATTTTTTTTTTAGACCTGACAATTCTTCTTGTGTCCTCCACTTGTCCAGTTTCCTCAGTTTTTTAAGGGCACACTGAACACCATGCTCAATGATGCCAAGGTTTTGGAATCACCCCCTTGGTGGAAAAATACAGTTTTAATTTTAACATAACTGTGTTATCTTTGGTATTTTTAAGATTCAGCTACAAAATTTGAATGTTTTTCAGAATGGAATAACATGTTTTTAAGACAGGCTGCCAGTAACAAAGTGCCTCAAGGTAAAATTTAAAATTTTACCTTGAGGCTGTCTTTTATGTGCAAACACACAGTTCTGGTTCATCTCTTGAGTTAGATATTTGTTTTATAGATCAATGTTAAGTGGCTTAACAAGCAAACAAAACATATTTATCTGAAAATGGTCAGTTTAAGGATTGGACAGAAAACTTGTTAAAAAGCAGCTAATCTCCGAATAATAACTAACAAATAAAAGCCTGAGAATCAGATTCTGTTGGGCAGCTAATCAGTGTTTGCGGGGCAGCAACGTGGAGCAGTGGTTAGCAATGTTGCATCACAGCAAGAAGGTCCTGACTCCCTCACCTGGCCGTGGCCTTTCTGAGTGGAGCTTGCATGCTTTCTTGTTTGCGTGGGTTCTCTCTGGGCACTCCAGCTTCCTCCCACAGTCTAAACACATGCAGTAAATAGAGTTAGGTTCACTGGTGAATCTCAATTGCCCATAGGTGTGAATGTGAGTGCAAATAGTTGTCTGTCTCTCTGTGTTAGCCCTGCATCAGGCTGGATGCCCCCCTCCGCCCACCCAGCAGCTGGGATAGACTCCAGCTTCCCCTGCAACCCCGATAAGGACAAGCGGAAGAGAATGGATGGATGGACAGATTCTGTTGTGCTTCTTATGAATTCAGTGACAACATTTGTAAACTCGATCCATCTGTCCAGTCAACAAAACAACGTGTCTCTTCTGACATTCTGTTCATTCATAATAGATGCTACACCATAGGATGAATGAAACCAGAGAGGAGATCTATACACAGCTTCAACTAAGATGTTTTTAAACTCATCTAGAGTTAATGTTTATAATGTGTTTTGACATAGAAATAAGAGCATGCATTGCCAGCTAACCAAACATAGCAAGTGTGCCATTTACTATACAAACAGTAATGAGTTTGGGCGTAGCTGCTGTTTTCTCCATATAAAT